GGGGGGGGGGGGGCGGAGGGGGCACCGTCAGGCCTGTGTCTCGCTGGTTCACTCGCGGGGCCCTTCAATTACGAGTAAAGTGGCTCGTTCGCATTGTTAATGCGCGTACCAGCTTTACGAGCCAATTTATGCTTTCCCGTTACAAATGGAGACGGCGACGCCGCCGCCGCAGCCGTCGCGGCGAAGGTGGCCGAGATTTATTTGCCGAGGGGGACCCGTAGCGCGTGAATTATTAAACGATAGCGCCTACCTCTTCCTAGCACACTCTTGGCTCTCTCTCTCTCTCTCTCTCTTTCTCTCTCTCTCTCTCTCCCCCTTTCAATGCAGATACTCAACCAGTCTCTCTTTATTGCATATTTACGTAAACGGCTATAACAAGAATTCCCTGAAAATCCCCTTTACGCTCTGATACAATCCACCTGTATACAATATCCATTGGGCTTCGTTTTCGATCCGGCATTTAGCACAAAGGACCGACCAACCCGAACAGGGATCAGCCGTACGTTAATTATCCCAGCTGGTTTCGATCAACGCAAAACTACAGGGTGTAAGTTTGATTTTAAAGAAATTTTCATCGAACTAATTATAAGATTTTAAAAGATACTGTACCTCGTAGAAGAAAAGTTCATCAAGTAGAAGCGGATCCGACGAGTACGATAAGTGCTTGAACGAGGAACACAAAGGTGCTGGTGGAAGTTGAAGGAATTTTGAGAAAAGAGTAAAAAAAAAAAGTATAGTTTTTCCCACTGGACCAAGAGCAGACAGAGGAACGGTGAGAGATTAATGGACCGTACGGAGGGATGCTGCCGGTTAGGTGCGCACGTGTGTACGCCGCCTAATATCAACAAGTGGAACGTCTCGGGAAGATGGAATTGAAGGGAGAATGTTAAGTCGAGTGGAGACTGTGGTGGACGAGCACGAGGATGAGTGTAAGGAGGAAAGCATAACAATCCGTCAACGCGTTTATGGTCCTGGGAAGAGAGAGAGAGAGAGAGAGAGAGAGTCGTCGATTCCTGGGAGTAGAACGAGGTTTACCGTGTACGTAAGATACTCATCTTGTGTCGGTGGAAGTGCTTCTCTAATTGGTCAGCTTCGATAAGCCTCGAGGAATCTCACTTGGAAGTCACGAACGCACTTGGTAACTGCTGGGACGAATATTAGGAAGTTTCCAGGTCTTATGGAACAGATACACGCGAGACTGTAACGTATATTTGACGAAGAGGAAGAAGGATTGTTAACGAATTTCAATAAAGCGAAAAAGTCGCGACGGCAGTGGCGGCGGCATTCGATTGAGATTTTTCAGGGCAGGTGGTATCCCTTAGTAAATCGCATTGTAAGCAATCCGGAAGGCAGCCACCTGGCGAATCAATATCCCTAGCAAAGGAGGATCGTCGCCGCCATGTAAATTCGCGATAATGTCCATAGGAAAAATATTCGTAACCTCACTCGAAACTGTTGGTAACGTCGAATGGCTGAAACAGCTGTGCGATAACTTACTGGGATTCGGTTAAGGTGAAATATCTAGGGACTTTTCATTGCACGTGGGTTTTGGCTGACGGATACTTTTTACGACGTCCGATTGGTCGACGTCTAGGAGCAGCGTTGTCGTATGCTCGCTGTGCTGTCTACTACGCGGGGACTTCGGGAGGTTCGTTGGGTTTGAGGCTAACGCGCGGCTGTTGGCCGAGTCGAGACGGATTAAGGAGTTGAGAACCGAAGGGAAGAGAAAGAGAGGTAGGACGGACGGAGATGGAAGTAAAAAGAAGATAGAGGAGGTATGTATAGTTGCCGGTTCGGTGAGTTTTTGACTGTCTGGCGCTAACTGCGGTTCCCTACCCGATACGCCGCCACCCCGTTCTACCCATTATAACGTAGGTTCGTGACTCCCCCTTGGAACCTTTATTCTTTAGCTATTCATTTAGTCCATCCCACCAGAAGGGGAGCTCTGGCCGGGGCGACCATTTTGTGCACCCGTACACCTACCTGCTCCGGATACCACGTAGTGACTGGAGGAGGTGGCACGTGGGAAGGCTTACTGAATTAGAAGGGAGAAGAGCCTCTCTTCTGTCTCGTCCACGGGAATAAATGGCACGTCGGTAACCTGGCTCATATCGCCGAACGTCAGGAGTCGATGTTGATTCTTCTCTTTTCTTTTTTTTTTTAAACTAGGTACTGCTCCAATTTTTTTACTACTTCCACGTACCTACAGCCAGTCGAATCGATATTCGAAGCTTCCAGACTGTTCTTACTTATTAATAAGGTTCTTGCCTTTTTTTTCTTTTCTTTTAGGTCAGGTCGCTGGGTGGGTATATGATCCATCGAGATATTGAGGCTAGACGCTTAGCCATGTGGTTTGTTGCTTTATGGATAGTGGCTTTTAGAATTTTCTCGCTCTTGTTACTGCTTTGGTTCTGGTGTGTATTATATATATTTTTTGTTGACGGAATGGGAGCGAAGACTGCCAACAGGGCAGAAAAGTACTCTGAAACAGAGAGCACGACTCGATCGACCAGGACAGCAGGGGCACCGACTCCGCCGACTTCCTATGCTTCCTGCTGCCTTGCTGAGAATGGAGCCTTCTCCTCATTTCTTCCATACATGGCGAAACACTCGGACCTTCAGCGGCAGCACTTGTTTGGTCGTAATTCTGCTTTAGGTCATGGGCGGTGTCCCCCGTTCGTCTGGCTGCGAGGACGGAGTGCGCCGTACGAGCGCACGAGCAGGAACGCCGCTCAGGTTTCTCCGTTTTATGTTCTCCTGAATTCACGGCCAGAGAGACGCAGACGTGCAAGATGGCGCATGAATACGTTCCGCACGGCGCACGACGGGGACGCAGACGCTCCCGTCACGGCTTCCATTGCGAGTCAACAGGAACCCATGCAACCCGTGGTCTTTAGTCTATTCTTCTTTTTTCTTTCGATATTTTTACAGATTTTCAACACGGTTTGGATCGTTAGATTAATAATACTGTTGTTTTTTTTTTACTGGGAGGCAATGAAAAATTTACTGGGATCCAATCGTGGATGTCTGACGGTGCGTGGATTTTTTATTAGATCGGCGTTGTATGGATTAGTGATTTTTTGAAAATATTTTTTTTTAGGAGAGTGCATTATTTTTTTTTAAAGATTTTTCAAGGAATTTCGTTATTCTGAGAAAGTGTCGGGAGAGCTCGAGATCGTTATGTAACTCCATCAACCGGAGAGAAACCCCGTAAACATGGCTTCCCGTAACTCGCGCGCACTGTTGATGGGATATCTTAGCGGAATAATAAGACGCTTACGAAAATCTTGAAAAATAATAATTTAATTCACATTATTTTATCAAATTGGTAAACCAATAGAAAAGTTGAGAAATAATGTAAAAAAAATTGCTGTAAAAAAAGAATTGTGTTAACTCATCCACAGGCAAGTAAGACGAGAATCGATGAGCTCCTAGGGACTTTTGCGTTCAGAAAAAAAAAGTCAAGTAATGGAAATTTTTCCCTAGGAATTATCGAGGGTGAAAAAGTGTGAGAAGTCGATTTCCCAAAGCGTCTATCCACTTCCGTAAATTCCAGAAGGAAATCATCGACAACGAGAAGTGTCGCCATCGTCTGGCGAATTTACGAAGCACGAAAGCTTCGCGCATCATCCCCTAGTGATTCGCGCATGGGAATCGTTAAACCACCCCCTCCGCCGCCCCAGCTCCTGTCTCACCTTCCAAGGATGGAAATGGCACCCCCGCACCAGGCTGGTAATTCCTGCGCCGTGCGCGTGTGATTTTATCGGCGGCGAACACGTCCGACGGGGTTGGTTACCTAGAGTCTCGTAAGGGTTGCGAGGGCACTGCGTGCGTCGAGTAAACATTTTTTAAATTTTTCTAAAAAATTTTCATCAAAAGTTTAAATCGGACTTCCCTCGTTAACGATAGAAAAATTTTAAAAAATAAAAATTACAAGAAAATTTCAGAAACCCAGTAATCTCCGATGCCAAGCGTTAAATCTTCAACGGAATGCAAACACGTTTAACCCAGCGTCATAGGATCATATGGGTGAATATTTGGTCGATTATATCATGTAGTTTCAGTCCAGCTGAGAAATTCAATATTATTAGACGTGCACCGATGACTCGTGATTTCTGCTTTTCCGCATCCGATCCTGTAAACATGTCAAGACCACAAATCTGAATGTAACAGTTTATCCCCCTTTCGCCTTGAATAAAGTGATAAGTCTCAAAATCCAACCCCCCCCCCCCC